ATTGGGAAGTCGACTAGCATATTCCAAACAGCTTTCTAACATTCACTTTACCTACTTGGCCAAAACAAAGCAGCATAGCCGGCTTGGCAGACTCTGCCTCACTTAGAGGCTTAGAGGCTCTAAGAACTTTCGTGGCAACAAACCTGAACTAGTGGAACAGGGAACTGGATTGAGGACGGCCAGATTAGAGGCCCCCGCTCGAGCCGGTTGAGGCGTGAGTCCCGTTCGGACGGCCTTATTGAGGCTCTGTCCAGAGCCGCTAGAGCTGCCAGGATTCGAGCCTCGTTCGACCGAAATTCCCGGCGTTTCCAGATTGACTCGCGGTCTGGAGTTCGAAATTTCCGTCGCTTGCTTGAGGACTTGGTAAATTTGGTCCACTTCGGTAACTGGAGGTTCTTTGCGAAAATAAACACAGACGCATTACGGTGCCATCAGCACATTTTCTACACTAATTGCCGGTTCAACTGCTGTTAAACGGGCTTTTGCTTGGAAAGGGTTGATTTTTCGGTTCAGTCGCCTTAAGGAGTTAGTTGTGAGTTTTTGTTTGCAAGCTTGATCTATGGGGTTTATTAGACAACGCTGATTGGAGTTAATAGTTGGGAACGCGCTGTTCCAAAAGTACCTAAACGAACTGCTTCAGTTGATGGGGAAAGGCGGCTGTTGGCGATCGGTTTCGCGCAGATTCGTCGGTTTATGGTCGGCATACCCCCTTCAGTTACATCTAAGTTAGCGCCAAAAAAATCACATTAATCCAGCGGTTTAACTGATTCTTCTCAAAGTTTGCCCATTTTTGCAAGCGGGACAGTGTGGAAGTAGAGAGGCGGCATGCAGCAAGAGTTGGAAATTGTGAAAACATCCAAGGGCCGATCCAGAGGGGGTCGAATCGAGTTTTCAACTCTCTATCCAACGATGCCAAAAATAATTATGTGGCTCGAATGGTTCTAGAGAAACTTCGAAAAAAGCAGCATTCATTCTTGAATTCAAGCCCTTTTTGAGAAAACTGACAACATTTCCCCATCCATGGATCACGTTCTGAAAAGGCCATTTATTTCTGTCTAGAATGAGGTACAAATGAGCGTTCTTGCTCATTTTGCCTCCGAGAAATGAGCAAAAATGGGCCGGAAAACATGGAATTTTGGCATAATCT